GTGGCCACGGGGCTTTATTTTGAGGGTGCATCCCTCCCACTGTCGTGCCAATTTGTCAATTTCCAGGATTTTTTCAGAAAACCTTCAGTTCTTCCGCCCAGCGTCTCCCACGGAACACGACATGTGGCTGTGGTGGCCCTGGGCACGTGGGACACCGGTGGCCAAGTCCTCCAACCCCAATGGGGTTGGTCAACTCAACCAAAGCTGGTTGCCCAACTCAATCACTGCTGGCCAGCCAGGAATGACCTAGCCAACGGGAGACGCCCAATAGGAATGAAGAACCCAGTGAGCTTCAGGCAATGCAACAAGGGTCACCCAATCGATGAGGGTCACCCACCCAATGATGGTTGGTCAACCCAAGGGAGTTGGCCAACCCAGTGAGGGTCACCACCCAGTGATGGTTGGCCAACCCAACGAGTCATCCACCCAATGACAGTTGGCCAACCCAAGGGAGTTGGCCAACCCAACTAGAGCCATCCACCCAAGGACGGTTGCCCAACCCAAGGGAGTTGGCCAACCCAGTGAAGGTCACCCACCCAACGATGGTTGACTAACCCAACCAGAGTCATCCACCCAATGACAGTTGGCCAACCCAAGGGAGTTGGCCAACCCAGTGAGGGTCACCCACCCAACGATGGATGGCCAACCCAATATCTACTGGCCTCTCCTTCCGCTGGTGGCCATGGTTTGACATCATTGTGCCGTTTTGTCCCCCGCAGGCGGTGCCGGCAGCCATTTTGTCCCCCTTCCCCCCTACCTCTGGCTCTCCTCAGGATTTACTCGCTCTCCGTTGTCCCCACACCAGGGTCTCCTGAGTTGGTGGCCACAAAAGCCCCGGGGGCCATGTTGGCCACCAGGAGGAGGAGTTGGCAAGGCCAAAAGTCGCCTTCCTCGACTCTGGAGGCCTCTGGAGATGCTTTGGCTTGCTGAGGAGGACTCGGGGCTCGTGACGGCACCGCCCTCAGGGGCGTGGCCACTGCAGGGACGTCCCTCCAGAGGGTTGGTAAGGGACGACCCAGCATTCCCTGGGGGCAGGGGAGGGGCAGGGGCAGTGGCCAGCAACCAACTTGAGCTTCGAAGAGAAGAGGAGGCCACTGTCAGTCAGGTGGTCTGGCCTGCCCGGCCCTGAGGTGGGGAAACGCCATTGGCTGGGCTCTTCCCAAGACCCACCCCTCCCTGACCTGGAGAGGTGCCATTGGTTGAGCTTTTCCCAAGACCCGCCTACCACAGACTGAGGAAATGCCATTGGTTGGGCTCAATCCAAGACCCTCCCACCCCACACTGGGGCCTCCCCATTGGCTGAGAAATTCCTAAGACCCTCCCACCCCACACTGGGGCCTCCCCATTGGCTGAGAAATTCCCAAGACCCACCCACCCCACACTGGGGCCTTCCCATTGGCTGAGCTCTTCCCTAGACACACCCCTCAAACTGGAGCCACCCCATTGGTTGGGCATCCTGCCTGAAGGGAGGTGTCACCTCCCGTCCCCCTTGGGGCGTGGCCTCCACGAGTGCCAGCCAATCGCCTGGGGCGGGCCCGATCTGGGCAACGAGGCTGTTTGTGTTCCTTTGATTAGGGCCCTAAAATCGTTACGGCTGTAATTAGCGCTAACGACCTAATGACAAGGCCGCACGATGACCTCAGCACCCGCGCCACGCCCCGGGCGCGGTTGGCGTCAGGGGGGCGGGGTTTGCTTAATCCCGCACTAATCCGGCGGCGGGTGGGGTGGGAATGGGGGGCAGAGGGGGACCCCGCCCCACGGCACCCTATAGGTACCGTACAGGACCCACTTCACCTTATAGATATGCTGTAGGGGACCCATTTTACCCCATAGATCCCATAGGGGCCCCCATCACCCTATAGATACCATAGGGGGTTCAGGTGTCCAGGCGGCCCCACTTCACTCCATAAACCCCATAGGGGACCCTCTTCACCCCATAGATACTGGAGGGGACCCACTCCACCCCATAGATCCCATAGGAGCTCCCATCACCCCATAGACACCGTAGGGTCCCACTTCACCCCATAGATACCATAGGGGATTCAGGTATCTGGGCTGCCCCACTTCACCCCATAGATATTGTAGGGCCCCCCATCACCCCATAGATCCCATAGGTGACCCACTTCACCCCATAGATCCCGTAGGTGGCCCACCTCACCCCGTAGATACTGTAGGGACCCACTTCACCCTATAGATGTAGCATAGGGGGCCCTCTTCACCCCATAGGTCCCATAGGGGACCCAGGTGTCCAGGCTGCCCCACTTCACCCTATAGATCCCATAGGGACCCACATCACCCCATAGATAGCATATGGACACGCTTCACCCCATAGATCCCATAGGAGCCCCAGGCACCCCATAGATCCCATAGGGGCCCCTCTTCACCCCACAGATCCCGTCAGGACCCACTTCACCCTATAGACCCCATAGGGGCCCCCTGTCCCCCCCTATAGATCCCGTGGGACACCCGGGCGTGGGGTGGGGGGGTGGGGTGTGAACGTGACACCTGCAAACCCGAGGGGGGGGGGCCGCTAATGAGCCCCTGTTAATAATTAACGTGGAGCCTTGATAAGGGGGGGGCCCCCATCCCCCCCCCCCAAAAAAAAACATCATGGCCCCCGGCAGCTTCATCATCCTGCTCCTCCTCCTCCTCGTGGAGCTGGTGACCCCCGGTGAGGGGGGGGGAGACCCCAAATTTTTGCGGGGGGGGGAAAGGGGGGGATAAAGGGGTCTGGGGGGGTCCCCAAGGTGCCGGGGGGGGGGGTCCTGGGGGGATTAAGAGGGGGTGAGGGGGTAAGGGGGTCTGGGGGGGTCCCTAACATGATGAATGGGGAGCTGGGGGGTCCTGGGGGGGTTAAGGGGGGGCCAAAGGGGTCGGGGGGGGTCCTCAAGGTGGGGGGGAGGTTGGGGGGAGTAAAGGGGAGGGATAAGGGAGGGGTTTGGGGGGGTCCCCAAGATGGTGGATGGGGTGCGGGGGGGATCTTGAGGGGGTTAAGGGGGGGCCAAGGGGGTCTGGGGGGTCCCCAAGGTGGGGGGGGGATTTGGGGGTGTCCGCAAAGTGTGGAGGGGTCCTGGCAGGGGAAAAGGGGGGGAAAGGGGTTCGGGGGGGTCCCCAAAGTCCCGGGGGGTGGTCAGGGTGGGAAAAAGGGAGTCTGGGGGGATTGCCAAGAGGGTGGATGGGGGTTCTGGGGGCGGGGGGGAGGGTTGTGCCGGGGGTGGGGGGAGGGGAAAGGGTCTGGGGGGGTCCCCAAGGGGTCCCAGTAGCCCCCCCAACAGCCCCCTCTGACATAACCCACCCCTGCTCCCAGGGTGGCCGTGGGGCGAGCGGATCGTGGGGGGCAGCGAGTGTCCCCAGGGGGGGCACCCTGGCCTCGTCCTGCTCTTCCACTTCGACCAGCACCAGTGCGGGGGGGCCCTGCTCAGCACCCAGTGGGTGCTCACGGCTGCGCACTGCCAGACCAGGTGTGGGGAGGGGGGGGGGGGGGGGGGCAGAACTGGGAGGCACTGGGAGGGGAGGTGGAAGCACTGGGTGTGGGGCTGGAATCAATGGGAGGGAAATGGGGGGGGGGGCTGAGAAGGGGACTGGGACCACTGGGGGGGGCACTGGGAGGCACTGGGGGGGGGACTAGGGCTACTGGAGGGGAGCTGGGCGCACTCGGAGGCACTGGGAATGGGACTGGGAGCACTGGGAGGGGAGGTGGGGGCACTGGGAGGGGAGGTGGGGGCACTGGGAGGGGAGGTGGGGGCACGGGAGGGGAGGTGGGGGCATGGGAGGGGAGGTGGGGGCACTGGGAGTGGGGCTGGAAGCAATGGGAGGGAAATGGGGGGGCGCTGAGAATGGGACTGGGAGGCACTGGGGGGGGGCACTGGGAGGCACTGGGCGGGGGGCACTGGGAGGCACTGGGGGGGGGGCACTGGGAGGCACTGGGGGGGGGCACTGGGAAGCACTGGCGGGGGGGCACTGGGAGGCACTGGGGGGGGGCACTGGGAGGCACTGGCGGGGGGGCACTGGGGGGCACTGGCGGGGGGGCACTGGGAGGCACTGGGTGGGGGGCACTGGGAGGCACTGGGCGGGGGGCACTGGGAGGCACTGGGCGGGGGGCACTGGGAGCGGAACGAGGGCTGTTGGAGGGGAGCTGTGTGCACTGGGAGGCACTGGGAATGGGACTGGGAGCGCTGGGGGGGGGGGGCACTGGGAGGCACTGGGGGGGCACTGGGAGGCACGGGGCAGGGGGCACTGGGGGCACTGGGGGGGGGACTAGGGCTATTGGAGGGGAGGTGGGCGCACAGGGAGGCACTGGGAATGGGACTGGGGGCGCTGGGAGCCCAGCTCAGCCCCCAGTGGGTGCTCAGGGTCACCCAGGGCCACGTGTGGCTGGGAGGCACTGGGAGCGCTGGGAAAGGTTCCAGGAAGCACCGGGAGGAACTGGGAGGAACTGGGTCATTGTGACCCATGTCCCATCCCCCCCCACGGTCATGTCCCTCACGTCCCCGTGACCGTGACCTCTCCCCCCGTCATGTGTCCCCCTCCATCAAGTGTCCCCCCCTGTCATGTGCCCCCCCATAATTGTGCCCCGGCCATCACGTGTCCCCCTGTGACTCCTCGTCACGTGTCCCCCTGTCACGTGTCCCCCACAACCGTGTCCCCTGTCACGTGTCCCCCTTCAGCTGTGTCCCCCTGTGTGCCCCATGACCATGTCACCCATGACCGTGTCCACCCATCATGTGTCCCCCCATGACCATGTCCCCCCATCATGTGTTCCCCCATGACCATGTCCCCCCATCATGTGTCCCCCATGACCATGTCCCCCATGACCATGTCCCCCCATCATGTGTCCCCCCATGACCGTGTCCCCCCATGACCGTGTCCCCCCACAACCACACCCCCCCATGACCATGTGTGTGTGTCCCCCTGCCCTGTCCCCTGTCCCCCCCAGCCACATCCAGGTGCGGGCGGGGCTGCACAGCCTGGCCAACCCCACGGGACACGAGCAGTTCGCCATGGCCGTGGCCACCGTGGTCCACCCGGGCTATGTCACCGTCCCCGGGGCCACCACCTACGCCCACGACCTGATGCTGCTGCGCGTGGAACCCCCCTTCATCCCCACCCGCTACGTCCAACCCCTGGGCCTGCCCAGGAGCCCCCCGGCCACAGGGGCCACCTGCACCGTCATGGGGTGGGGCACCACCACCAGCCCCCACGGTATGGGGGGGGATGACACACACGGGGAGGGGTGGTGGCATCTCCATGGGGAACAAGCCCAAGAGACCATGAGAAGTTCAACTCAAAGTGGGTTGGGTTGGGTGGTGGCATCTCCATGAGAAAGGGATCCAGGTGACCACAAGAAGGTCAACTCAATGTGGGTTGGATTGAGTTGGGTTGGGTTGAGTGGTGTCATCTCCATGGGGAAGGGGCCCAAGGGACCATGAGAAGTTCAACTCAACATGGGTTGGGTGGTGGCATCTCTGTGGGGAACAGGCCCAAGAGACCATGAGAAGGTCAATTCAGTGTGGGTTGGGTTGGGTTGGGTGGTGGCACCTCTGTGGGAATGGGACAAAGGTGACCACAAGATGGTCACATCTATGTGTGTTGGGTTGGGTGGTGGCATCCCCATGGAGAACAGGCCCAAGGGACCATGAGGTCAACTCAATGTGGCTTGGGTTGGGTTGGGTGGTGGCATCTCCATGAGAAAGGGACCCAGGTGACCACAAGGTCAACTCAATGTGGGTTGTGTTGGGTTGAGTGGTGGCATCTCGATGGGGAAACAGGCCCAAGGGACCATGAGAAGATCAACTCAACGTGGGTTGGGTTGGGTGGTGGCATCTCCATGGAGAACAGGTCCAAGGGACCATGGGGTCAACTCAACGTGGCTTGTGTTGGGTTGGGTTGGGTTGAGTGGTGTCATCTCCATGGAAAAGGGACAAAGGTGACCACGAGATGGTCACATCAATGTGTGCTGGGTTGGGTGGTGGCACCTCTGTGGGGAACAGGCCCAAGAGACCATGAGAAGGTCAATTCAGTGTGGGTTGGGTTGGGTTGGGTGGTGGCACCTCTGTGGGAATGGGACAATGGTGACCACAAGATGGTCACATCTATGTGTGTTGGGTTGGGTGGTGGCATCCCCATGGAGAACAGGCCCAAGGGACCATGAGGTCAACTCAACTTGGGTTGGGTTGGGTTGGGTTGGGCTGGGTTGGGTTGGGTTGGGTTGGGTTGGGTTGGGTTGGGTTGAGTGGTGGCACCTCTGTGGGGAACAGGCCCAAGAGACCCTGAGAAGTTCAACCCGCCGTGAGTTGGGTTGGGTGGTGGCATCTCCATGGAGAAGGGACAAAAGTGACCACGAGATGGTCACGCCCACATCTGTTGGGTTGGGTGGTGCCATCTCCAAGAGACAAATGGACCCACCTTGGACACGTGTCCCGCCCCTCCCAGAGTCCTTCCCCGACACCCCCCAGTGCGTGAACGTCACTGTGGTGGGGGACAGCGAGTGCCGCTCGGCCTACGGCAGCAAGGTCACCGAGGACATGCTGTGTGCGGGCGTGGCTGGGGGGGGCAAGGACTCCTGCCAGGTATCCCCTGCGCCCCCCCTGTCCCACACCCTTGTCCCCATGTCCCCTCACCTTGTCCCCACGTCTCATCTCGTCCCCACGTCCCACCTCATCCCCGTGCCCTACCTTGTCCCCACATCCCACCTCGTCCCCATGTCCCCTCACCTCATCCCCATGTCCCACCTCGTCCCCATGTCCCCTCACCTTGTCCCCACGTCCCATCTCGTCCCCACGTCCCACCTCATCCCCATGTCCTACCTTGTCCCCACGTCCCACCTCGTCCCCATGTCCCCTCACCTTGTCCCCACGTCCCATCTCGTCCCCACGTCCCACCTCATCCCCATGTCCTACCTTGTCCCCACGTCCCACCTCGTCCCCATGTCCCCTCACCTCATCCCCATGTCCCACCTCATCCCCATGTCCCAACTTGTCCCCGTGTCCCTTCACCTTGTTCCCATGTCCCCTCACCACATCCCCAAGTCCCACCTTGTCCCAACGTGCCACCGTCTTGTCCCCATGTCCCACCACCTCGTCCCCATGTCCCACCACCCTGTCCCCATGTCTCACCACGTCCCCGTGTCCCATCACCCCGTTCCCAAGTCCCACCTTGTCCCTGTGTCCCTTCACCTTGTCCCCATGTCCCCTCACCACATCCCCAAGTCCCACCTCGCCCACATGCCCCACAGCCACCTCCCTCTGCTCCCCCACCGTGTTCCTTGAGCTTTGATGTGGGGACACGTCCCCACCCCCACGTGTGTCTCCCCACCCCACCCCCGTCCCCTCAAGTTGTGGCTCCGTCCCCGTGGCCGCCACCCGTAACCACGTCCCGTTGGGGTCCCCTTCTCCCTTGCGCTTCAAGACACGACCACAGCCACCACCCTGGTGTCCTCCCAGGCCAGGGAGTGTCACCGAGGTCCTCCCATGGTCCCTTTTGTCCCCAGGGTGACTCGGGGGGTCCCCTCATCTGTGACGGGGTCCTGCAAGGCATCGTCTCCTGGGGCGACCACCCATGTGGGCAGGCGGGGAAGCCCGGGGTCTACAGCCAGGTCTACAACTACCTGTCCTGGATCCAGGAGACCATAGGGGAGGGCTGAGGTCTCCTCGTCCCACCATGGACCTTCCAACCCCCCCCAGACCCACCAACCCCACCGTGGACCTCCCAACCCCACCATGGACCCACCAACCCCACCATGGACCCACCAACACCACCATGGACCTTCTAAACCCTGCCCAGACCCACCAACCCCACTGTAGACCTCCCAACCCCACCATGGACCCACCAACCCCACCATGGACCCACCAACACCACCATGGACCTTCTAAACCCTGCCCAGACCCACCAACCCCACTGTAGACCTCCCAACCCCACCATGGACCCACCAACCCCACCATGGACCTTCTAAACCCCACCCAGACCCACCAACCCCACTGTAGACCTCCCAACCCAACCATGGACCCACCAACTCCTCCCCAGACCCACCAACCCCACCATGGACCCACCAACCCCACCGTGGACCTCCTGAACCCCCCCCTCAGACCCACCAACCCCATCGTGGACCTCCCAACCCCACCATGAACCCACCAACCCCACCACAGACCCACCAACCCCACCATGGACCTCCTGAACACCCCCCTCAGACCCACCAACCCCATCATGGACCTCCCGACTCCAACACGGACCTCTCAACCCCACCATGGATCTCCTGAACCACCCCCCAGACCCACCAACCCCACCACAGACCCACCAACCCCACCATGGACCTCTTGACCCCCCCTTATGGACGCCCCCTGTGACCCCACCACAGATGACCTGACCCCACCACGAACCGGGCGGGGCCCATGATTGTTGGATTGACACCCCCGTGGACACGCCCACCCACCGGGGAGCCCAACGTGGATGACCCGAGGCCACCGGAAGCCGGCCACCAGCTGACGGGGCCAGTCCCACCAGAGATCCCACCACAGATGGATGGATCCCACCCAAATCCCACCACGGATGGACCGATCCCACCATGGATGGATGGATCCCACCAGAGATCCCACCATGGATGGACGGATCCCAGCCAAATCCCACCACGGATGGATGGATCCCACCACAGGTCCCACCACGGATGGATAGATCCCACCAAAGATCCCATCATGGACACACTGAGCCCACCAGAGATCCCACCACATCTGGTTGATCCCACCCCAAATCCCACCATGGATGGACCAATCCCACCACGGATGGACTGATGCCACCCCAGATCCCATCACAGATGGTTGGTCCCATTCCAGATGCCACCAAGGATGGACCGATCCCACCCGAGATCCTACCACGGATGGATAGATCCCACCAGAGATCCCACCATGGATGGACCAATCCCAGCCCAGATCCCACCACCACGGATGGACCAATCCTACCCCAGATCCCACCATGGATGGACCAATCCCACCACGGATGGACCAATCCCAGCCCAGATCCCACCACGGATGAACCAATCCCAGCCCAGATCCCACCACGGATGGACCAATCCCAGCCCAGATCCCACCATGGATGGACCAATCCTACCCCAGATCCCACCATGGATGGACCAATCCCACCACAGATGGTTGGTCCCACCCCAGATCCCACCACGGATGGGTCAATCCCAGCCCAGATCCCACCACGGATGGACCAATCCCAGCCCAGATCCCACCACGGATGGACCAATCCCAGCCCAGATCCCACCACTGACGGTTGATCGCCCCCAATAAACCGCCCTTCCCCCGCATCTCCAGGGCATCTCTGAGCTCCTGCGGGGCACCTGGGGGCAAAGGGAGCAGAACTGGGCCAAAGCAGGGAAAAATGGACAAAAGCAGGGAAAAAACAGGCAAAATCGGGGAAAAAATGGGCAAAATCATGAAAAAAACAGATAAAATCAGGGGACAATGGGCAAAATCAGGGAGAAATTAATAAAATCAGGGAAAAAATGGGCAAAAGCATGGAAAAGTGGGCAAGATCAGGTAAAATCAGGTAAAAGTGGGCAAAATCAGGCAGAATTGAGGCAAAATCAGGCAGAAATAGGCAAAACCATGTGGAAGTGAGACAAAAATGGGCAAAAGTGGGTAAAACCAGGCAGAAGTGGGGATATTGGGCCTGAGTGGGTCAAATTGAGCAAGACTGGGCAAAAGTGGGCAAAACTGGGCAGAAGTGAGCCAAAATTGAGCAAAAATGGGCAAAAACATGTAGAAGTGAGACAAAAATGGGGGAAAGTGGGTAAAATTGGGCAGAAGTGGGCAAAACCAGGCAGAATTGAGCCAAAATCAGGCAGAATTGGGGGATATTGGGCCTAAGTGGGTCAAATTGAGCAGGCCTGGGCAAAATCAGTAAAAAGTGGGCAAAATCAGGAAGAATTGAGCCAAAACCAGGTGGAAGTGGGCAAAACCACGTAGAAGTGAGGCAAAAATTGGCAAAAGTGGGTAAAATCAGGCAGAAATAGACAAAATTAGGCAGAATTGAGCCAAAACCAGGCAGGTGTGGGGGACACTGGGCCTAAGAGGGTCAAATTGAGCAGGACTGGGCAAAAGCCAGTAAAAGTGGACAAAATGAGGCAGATGTGAGCCAAAATCAGGAAATAGTGGGCAAAACTAGGCAGAAGTGAGCCAAAATTGAGCAAAAATGGGCAAAACCATGTAAAAGTGAGACAAAAATGAGTGAAAGTGGGTAAAATTGGGCAGAAGTGGGGGATATTGGGCCTAAGTGGGTCAAATTGAACAGGAATGGGCAAAACCAGGTAAAAGTGGGCAAAATGAGGCAGATGTGAGCCAAAATCAGGCAAAAGTGGGTAAAACCAGGCAGAAGTGGGTAAAACCACACAGAAGTGAGACAAAAACAGGTGAAGGTGGGTAAAATTGGGCAGAAGTGGGCAAAATCAAGTAAGAGTGGGCAAAATGAGGCAGATGCGAGCCAAAATCAGGCAAAAGTGGGCAAAATCGGGCAGAAGTGAGCTAAAATCAGGTCAAAGTGAGTGATACTGGGCCTAAGTAGGTCAAACGGATCAGAACTGGGAAAGCCAGGCAAAAGCGGACAGAATGAGGCAAAAGCGCGCAGAATGAGGCAAAAGCGGGCAGAATGAGGCCAAAGTGAGCCAAAATCAGGCAAAAGTGAGCCGGACGGGGCCGAAGTGGCCCAAAGTGGGCAAAACTGGGCCAAATGGGCAGAAGTAAGGAAACGGAAGGTATAAAGTGGGCCAAACTGGGGGAGGGGGGCTACCCACAGCGAGACCTCCGTGCCTCCCAGTACCGTACTGGCGGGAACTGGGCTTTCGCTCCCCTCCGAAGCCATTGAGTCAGCGGAGGAGGGGGGGGAGGGGAGAGGGTGGTGAATCACGGGGCGAATCGTCGCCCCACCCCCGCCCTGGCCGCGTTAGGGGGTAATTAGGGCAGATAACGAGGCCGGAGGGGAAACTGAGGCCCGGGAGGCCGCGGCGGCCACGTGACGGGGCCGGGGCTGAGCTCTGCCAAAACCGCACTGGGAGGGGACCCCGGCGTCCCGGCACCCACAAACGCTCCGCTCCACCCCGGGGTGCTGGCAGGGGACCCGGGCGTCCGGGAATCGCCTCCTTCCCCTCCCGCCTCCCCCCCCCCCCCCCCCAAAAAAAAAAAAAATCTCCCCACCCCATCCAGTCTAACTGGGGAGAAGCTCTCGAAGGCAGCTGGGGTGTATTGGGAGCAACGGGGGGCGGGTAGTGGAGGGAGATGACCTGGACTCCTGGGTCCCCTGGGAGTAACTGGGGTGATTGGGGGGTCCCTTGGGAGCAACTGGGATGATGGGGGGGACACACACCTGGGTCCCCTGGGAGTAACTGGGGTGACATGAATGTCCCTTGGGAGCAACTAGGGTGATTTGGGGGTCCCCTGGGAGCAACTGGGATGATGTGGGGGGGGGTGGGATGACACCTGGGTCCCCTGGGAGTAACTGGGGTGACATGAATGTCCCTTGGGAGCAACTAGGCTGATTTGGGGGTCCCCTGGGAGCAACTGGGATGATGTGGGGGGACCCTTGGGGACACCTGGAAGTAACTGGGGTGACATGGGGCTCCATCGGGAGTAATTGGGATGATATAGGGGGACACCTGGGTCCCTTGGGAGAAACTGGGGTGATGTGGGGGTCCCTTGGGAGAAACTGGGGTGACACGAGGGGGACTCCCCCTCCTCTCCCGGCCCCTCCTTCCCCCCCCCCCAGGGCGTCCCCAGGGGCGGGACAGGGTGACCCAGCCCCTCCCAAACGGTCACAAAAACCCGCCCCCACCCTGGGCCACCCACCCGCTGCCGTGGGCACCCGCAGGCTGTGCCACGCACCCGCTGCCGCACTCCCACGACCCACGACAACCCGCAACAAGAGCAAGTGACGTGGGTGGGAGGACATGGGATGGGGGGGGGAAGGAGGGGGGAAGGAAAGAGGGAAGGAAGGAGAGAGAGAAGGAGAGGGGAGGAGGGAAACAGGAGAGATGGAAGGAGGAAGGAAGAAAAGATGGAAGGAGGGAGGGAAGGAGAGATGGAAAGAGGAAGGAAGGAGGATGGAAGGGGAGATGGAATGAGGGAAGGAAGGAGAGATGGAAAAAGGAAGGAGAGTGGAAGGAGGGAGGGAAGGAAGGAAGGAGAGAGTGAAAGTGGGAAGGAAGGAGGATGGAAGGAGGGATGGAGGAAGGAATGGAAAGAGGGGAGGAAGAAGGGAGGAAGGAGAGATGGAGGGAGGGAGGGGAGGAGGAGAGAAGGAGGAAAGGGAGAGATGGAATGGGGGAAGGAAAGAGGGTGGAAGGAGGAAGGAAGAGGGAAGGAGAGATGAGAAGAGGAAGGAAGGAGGATAGAAGGAGGGAGAGAAGGAAGGAGGGATGGACAAAGGGATGGAAAGAGGGGAGGAAGAAGGGAGGAAGGAGAGGTGGAAGGAGGGAGGGAAGGGGGAAAGAAAGAGGGGTGGAAAGAAGAGGGAGAGAGGGAGGGAAGGAGGATGGAGGGAAGGAATTTAAAGAGGGGAGGAAGGGGAGATGGAATGAGATGGAAGGAGGAAAGAGGGAGAGGTGGAAGGAGGGATGGAAAGAGGGTGGAAGGAGGAAGGAAGGAAGAAGGAAGGAGAGATGGAAGAAGAGAGGGAAGGGGGAAAGAAAGAGGGGTGGAAAGAAGAGGGAAAGAGGGAGGGAAGGAGGATGGAAGGAGGGATGGAGGGAAGGAAGGAAGGAGGAAGAAAGAGGGAAGGAGAGATGGGATGAGGGAGGCAGGAAGATAAAAGAAGGCTGGGAGGAGAAAAGGATGAAGAAAGGAGGGTCGGGAGGGGGGGAGGAAGGAGGAGGGAGGTGGGATGGCTGGGGACAGGATGGGGGGGGGGGAGATGTGGGGCCAGGCGGGAGGGGCTGGGCGGGGCCACTGTCCCCACTGACCCTCCCCCCCGTCCCCTCAGGGCCATGGAGCTGCTGCCCAGCGCGTTGCTTCTCCTGCTGCTGACAGGTACGTGGGGCCCCGTGTCCCCCCCATGTCCCGCCATGTCCCCCTCGTGTCCCTCCGTGTCCCCCCTGTGTCTCCCCATGTCCCCCTGGGTCCCCTCCACCCTTCTCCCACTCCATGTCCAGGTCCCCATGGAGGGAATGTGGGGAGGGGACAGCTCTGGTGGCCCATGTCCCCACAGAGGGGACAGCTCTGGTGGCCCATGTCCCTGTGGAAGGGACAGATCTGGTGGCCCATGTCCCCACGGAGGGGACAGCTCTGGTGGCTCACGACCCTGTGGAAGGGACAGCTCTGGTGGCCCATGTCCCCACGGAGGGGACAGCTCTGGTGGCCCATGTCCCCGTGGAAGGGACAGATCTGGTGGCCCATGTCCCCACGGAGGGGACAGCTCTGGTGGCTCACGTCCCTGTGGAAGGGACAGCTCTGGTGGCCCATGTCCCCACAGAGGGGACAGCTCTGGTGGCCCATGTCCCCGTGGAAGGGACAGATCTGGTGGCCCATGTCCCCACGGAGGGGACCGCTCTGGTGGCCCATGTCCCCACGGAGGGAACACGGGGCGAGAACATCTGGTGACACACCCCACCCCCCCGTCTCCCCTGGCAGGAGGAGCCCGTAGCCAGGACCCGCCTGGGGATCCCTGTCCCCAGGGCCAGCAGGAGGTCAGGGAGGGCTCGGAGACCTTCTGTGTCCCCGCGTCACCGCCGGGCAGGCAGATGACAAGGGACGACGACCGGATCATCGGGGGGTACCCCTGCATCCCCGCCTCCCAGCCCTGGCAGGTTTACATCTACAGCCCCATCCGCTGCGGCGGGATCCTCCTGCGGGACAACTGGGTCCTCACGGCCGCCCACTGCAACAGCAGGTGGGGACACCCCTTGGGGACAAACCTCCCCCCTCCCCGGGGATGGGGACACCCCCCCTGGGGACAGGGCAGCCCCCCCCGGGGATGGGGATATGAGGAAAAGGGGAGACGTGTGAGTAGAGGGAGATGGGTGGGGGACAAGAGGAGGGGATGGGGACAGGGTTGGGGGACAACAGAAGGGCGTGGGGACATTGTCAGGGGGCGTGGCATGGGGACAGGGACACGGGGACAGGGTTGAGGGACCAGGGATGGGTGTGGGGACACGGTCAGGGGACAGGGACATGGTGAAGGCCTGGGGACACAGTTGGGGGACCACGGGTGGGTGTGGGGACATCCTCAGGGGATGTGGCGTGGGGGACAAGGGTGTGGGGATGTGGTTGGGGGTCAAGGGATGGGCGTGGGGACATCCCCAGGGGACGTGGCATGGGGACAGGGACACGGGGACAAGGTTGGGGGACCAGGGAAGAGTGTGGGGACATGGTCAGGGGACAGGAACAGGGTGAAGGCCTGGGGACACGGTTGGGGGACAAGGGAAGGGTGTGGGGACATCCTCAGGGGACGTGGCATGGGGACAGGGACACGGGGACACAGTTGGGGGACAAGGAAAGGGCATGGGGACATCCTCAGGGGACGTGGCGTGGGGACAAGGGTGTGGGGACGTGGTTGGGGGACAGGGACATGGTGGAGGCCTGGGGACACAGTTGGGGGGACAAGGGACGGGTGTGGGGACATCCTCAGGGGATATGGTGTGGGAACAGGGACATGGGGACACGGTTGGGGGACCAGGGATGGGTGTGGGGACACAGTCAGGGGACAGGGACATGGCTGGGGGACAAGGGAAAGGTGTGGGGACATCCGCAGGGGACCTGGCATGGGGACAAGGGTGTGGGGACGTGGTTGGGGGACACGGGATGGGTGTGGGGACACAACCAGGGGGGTGTGGCGTGGGGACAGGGACACGGTTGGGGGGCAGGGGATGGGTGTGGGGACGCGGTTGGGGGACAAGGGACAGATGTGGGGACAGGGACACGAGACAAGGGATGAGCAGAGGGACACGGCCGGGGGGGGGGATGGGACACGACGTCCTGAGGGGACACCAGTGGGGTGCAGAGCTGTCCCCGTCCCCCCACCTTCCCCCGTGTCCCCCCACATTGCACCGGCCTGTCCACATCTGTCCCCCCCACAACGTGTCCCCAACCCACCCATGTCCCCCCCCACACCCCACCCCTATCCCTCCGTGTCCCCTGTCCACCCACATCCCAGCTTTCCCTGCCATGTCCCCCCCCCCCCATGTCCCCAACCCACCCTTGTCCCCCCCCATGTCCAATGTCCCCCCATATGTCCCCCTCCGTGTCCCCATGTCCCCCCCAGTGTCCCCCCATGTCCCCCTCCCCCCCATGTCTCCCAATGTCCCCACCCCACCCTTGTCCCCCCCCGTGCCCCCTCTTTGTCCCCCCCCGTCTCCCAGTGTCCCCCCCATGTCCCCAACCCACCCCGTCCCCCCCCATGTCCCCCTCCGTGTCCCCATGTCCCCAACCCACCCCTGTCCTCCCCATGTCCCCCCACACACGTCCCCCTCTGTGCCCCCATGTCCCCAACCCACACCTGTCCCCCCCCATGTCCCCCCCCATGTCCCCCTCCGTGCCCCCATGTCCCCAACCCACGCCTGTCCCCCCCCATGTCCCACGTCCCCCCCCACGTCCCCCTCCGTGCCCCCATGTCCCCAACCCACGCCTGTCCCCCTCCATGTCCCACGTCCCCCCCCACGTCCCCCTCCATGCCCCCATGTCCCCAACCCACCCCCGTCCCCACCCCTGCCCCCCCTCCGTGTCCCCCCAACCCACCCATCCCCCCCCTCAAGTCCCCACACCCCACCTCTGTCCCCCCCCCGCGTCCCCAAACCCACCCCCCTGCCCGCCACCTCCCACCCCCCATCCGCGTGTCCGTGTCCCCCCCGTGCGTGTGTCCGTCCGTCCGTGTGTCCCCCCCCCCCACTTCCTTCTCCCCCTCCTCCGTGGGGACGCAGAGGCCTGCGCCTTCGCCTGGGCGAGAACGACCTGCAGCAGGCGGAGGGGACGGAGCAGGACCGGCGGGTGGCCGTGGCCATCCCCCACCCCAACTTCAACCCCACGACCCTCGACAACGACCTCCTGCTGCTCAAGCTCGACCGGCCCGTGGCGCTCGGCCGCGCCGTGCGGACCCTCCCCCTGCCCCGCGCCTGCGCCCCCGCCGGCACCACCTGCCTGGTCTCCGGCTGGGGCACCATCACCACCCCCCAAGGTGAGAGGAGACCCGGAGGGAAAATGTCCGGGAAAACCAGAGGGAAAATGTGGGGAAAACAGAGGGAAAATGTGGGAAAAATAGAGGGGAAATCCGGGAAAAACAGAGGGAAAATCCGGGAAAAACAGAGGGAAAATCCGGGAAAAACAGAGGGAAAATCTGGGAAAAACAGAGGGAAAATGTGGGAAAAACAGAGGGAAAATCCGGGAAAAACAGAGGGAAAATCCGGGAAAACCAGAGGGAAAAACAGGGAAAATCCGGGAAAACCAGAGGGAAAATCTGGGAAAACCAGAGGGAAAATCCGGGAAAAACAGGGAAAATCAGGGAAAAACAGAGGGAAAATCCGGGAAAAACAGAGGGAAAAATCTGGGAAAAACAGAGGGAAAAATCTGGGAAAAACAGGGAAAATCAGGGAAAAACAGAGGGAAAATCCGGGAAAAACAGAGGGGAAAATCCGGGAAAAACAGAGGGAAAATCTGGGAAAAACAGAGGGAAAATCAGGGAAAAAAAGAGAGGGAAAATCTGGGAAAAACAGAGGGGAAAATCCGGGAAAAACAGAGGGAAAATCCGGGAAAAACAGAAGGAAAATCTGGGAAAACCAGAGGGAAAATCTGGGAAAAAACAGAGGGGAAAATCCAGGAAAAACAGAGGGGAAAATCCGGGAAAAACAGAGGGAAAATCCGGGAAAAACAAAGGGAAAATCTGGGAAAAACAGAGGGGAAAATCCAGGAAAAACAGAGGGAAAATCCGGGAAAAACAGAGGGAAAATCTGGGAAAACCAGAGGGGAAAATCCAGGAAAACCAGAGGGAAAATCTGGGAAAAACAGAGGGAAAATCCGGGAAAACCAGAGGGAAAATCTGGGAAAAACAGAGGCAAAATCCGGGAAAACCAGAGGGAAAATCTGGGAAAAACAGAGGCAAAATCCGGGAAAACCAGAGGGAAAATCTGGGAAAACCAGAGGGAAAAACAGGGAAAATCCGGGAAAACCAGAGAGAAAATCCGGGAAAAACAGAGGGAAAATCTGGGAAAAACAGAGGGAAAATCCGGGAAAAACAGAGGGAAAATCTGGGAAAAACGGAGGGGAAAATCTGGGAAAACCAGAGGGAAAATCCAGGAAAAACAGAGGGAAAATCTGGGAAAAAACAGAGGGGAAAATTCAGGAAAACCAGAGGGGAAAATCTGGGAAAAACAGAGGGAAAATCTGAGAAAACCAGAGGGAAAATCTGGGAAAAACAGAGGGAAAATCCGGGAAAAACAGAGGGAAAATCTGGGAAAACCAGAGGGAAAATCTGGGAAAACCAGAGGGAAAACATAGAAGGAACCTGTAGTAAACCTGTAGTAAACCTGTAGTAAACCTGTAGTAAACCTGTAGTAAACCCGTAGTAAACCCACTGCTCCTGGGAAAGTCGTGGCAGAGTGAGGCTGAAGGCACAGCGAAGCTGTGGGGAAACCTGGGGTAAAAATCATAGTGAACCTGTAGTAAAGTCGTAGCAAACCTATCGTAGAGTTGTAGTAAACACCGAGGAAGCTGAGGGTAAAGTTGCGGGGAGCCCGTGGGGAAGTTGTGGCAGAGCCAGGCTCGATTTACGGCGAAGCTGTGGTGAAACGGGGGGGGGGGGGAAATTCATCGTAAACACAGAGTAAAATTGTAGTAAACCTGGAGCAAGGTCATAGTAAACCTAGCACAGAGGCTTAGAAAACCCAGACTAAAGTTGTAGTAAGCCAGGAGTGCGCAGGGGGTGAGGACCCCTGGTGTAATGCCCCCCGGGGGAGGGTGGTTACTCCCTGGAGTAATGGCTCTCGGAGTTGGGGGGTTGTTACCCACGAGCGTAAGGCAGGAGTAAGGCAGTAGGGAGGGGCAGGGCTGGCTGCTTGCAGGAATAACCCTGGAGTAAATCAGGGACGGGGGGGGGGGGGGGGGGGTCGGGGCTCCCAGGAATAAACCTGGAGGAATGGGCATGAAGGCTGTTGGTCGCCGGCGTAAATCTGGAGTAAAGCCCGGAGTAAGCGAAGGGAGGGAGCGGGGGCCACGGCCTCGCCGGAGCCAGCCTGGGGCCACTCCTTAGACAAGCAAAGCGGGCTCCTCGCGGGAGTAACCTAAGAGTATCCCATGCGTACCTGAGTAACCGAGGAGCAACCTACAAGCAACCACCAAGTAACCTACGACGAATTTGTAAATAATGAATAACCAATGAAAAACCTCCAGGCAGCTTAGGAGTAACTGGTGCCTAACCTAGAACGAACAACCGACCTAGGAGTAACTGACGCATAACCTGTAAGTTACCTAGGAGTAAGCTGTAACCAACGCGTAACCTATGAGTAACCAACCAGTAACCAACGCGTAACCTATGTGTAACCTACCAATATCCAACGCGTAACCTATGAGTAACTGACCAGTAACCAACACGTAACCTATGAGTAACCGACCAGTAACCAACGCATAGCCTATGAGTAACTGACCAGTAACCAACGCGTAACCTATGAGTAACCGACCAGTAACCAACGCATAGCCTATGAGTAACCTACCAGTAACCAACGCGTAACCTGTGTGTAACCTACCAGTAACCAACGCGTAACCTATGAGTAACCAACCAGTAACCAACGCGTAACCTATGTGTAACCTACCAATATCCAACGCGTAACCTATGAGTAACTGACCAGTAACCAACACGTAGCCTATGAGTAACCGACCAGTAACCAATGCATAACCTGTGAGTAACCTACCAGTAACCAACGCGTAGCCTATGAGTAACCGACCAGTAACCAATGCGTAACCTATGAGTAACCGACCAGTAACCAACGCATAACCTACGAGTAACCGACCAGTAACCAATGCATAGCCTGTGAGTAACCTACCAGTAACCAACATGTAACCTGTGAGTAACCTACCAGTAACCAACCCATAACCTATGAGTAACCAACCAGTAACCAACACATAACCTGTAAGTAACGAAGAACCTAAGAGTAGCTGATGATGTAAATACCCTAAGAAACTAATGCATAACCTATAAATAAATGAAGCGTAACCTAGGAGTAAACTAGGAGTAAACTAGGAGTAGGGCCGGGAGTATCCCAGCAGCCCCTGGGGGTGGCCCCGCCCCTCCCTGACCCCTCCCCCCCCCCGCAGTGACCCTGCCCCGCCACCTGATCTGCGCCTACGTGGACATCATCCCGGCCGCCGTCTGCCGCCGCGCCTACCCGCAGCGCATCACTCCCAACATGCTTTGCGCCGGGGTGCGCAGCCAGCGCATCGACTCCTGCCAGGTACCGCGGGGGGGCGGGGGGGCACCCCAAAAACCTCCCCCCCCACCCCGAAACCATCGTCCCACCCTAAGCCCCCCCTCCCCCCCCCAACTCCCCATCACCCGGAATGAACAAGAAGCCCCGCCCCCCCCAATTTACTCCTGCCCTATTGAACCCCAGCTTCATGGCACCCCCAAAATATGCCCTCCCCCCCAATCAAGCTCCGCCCCCCACCCCCCAACTCACGCGCCCTCCAACCCAGCAACCTTCTGCCTCAACGGCTCCTCCATCTTAGAAACTTCACCCCCAA